AAGAACATTGCCAAGGGTATCAACGAGGGTCGCATCAACTTCTTCGACAAGCACTTGTCCATGTTCCCCACTGACCTTGTCTACGTAAGCTGCCGCAAACTCGGGCGCAAATCGCGCGCAAACTCATGTGTCGCAAACAGCCTGCTAACCCGGTCGCGCGCAGGGCTACTACACCAAGGACCGCAAGGACAACAAGGGTCTCGATGTCGTCTGCATTGAGGCTACCGAGATCAAGGAGGACGGCTCTATCGTCCCCGGTGCCTCCGTCGGTGCCACCCCCGAGCTCGTCCAGATGGCCGACAAGATCATCATCGAGGTCAACACCGCCATCCCCAGCTTCGACGGTCTCCACGATATCACCTTCTCCGACCTTCCTCCCCACCGCAAGCCCTACCTCATCACCCAGTGCCGTGACCGCATCGGTACTACTTCGTTCCCCATCGACCCCGAGAAGGTTGTCGGCATCATCGAGTGCGACACCCCCGATCAGACCCTCCCCAACACCCCCGCTGACGACAAGGCCTTCGCCATCGCCGGCCATCTGATCGAGTTCTTCGAGCACGAGGTCGCCCGCGGCCGTCTCCCCAAGAACCTGCTCCCCATGCAGTCCGGTATCGGCAACATTGCCAACGCCGTCATTGGTGGTCTCGAGAACTCCAACTTCAAGAACCTCAACGTCTGGACCGAGGTTATCCAGGATACCTTCCTCGACCTCTTCGACGCCGGCAAGCTCGACTTCGCTACTGCCACCTCGATCCGCTTCTCCCCCGACGGCTTCGAGCGCTTCTACAAGAACTGGGACAACTACTATGACAAGCTCCTCCTCCGCTCTCAGTCCGTCTCCAACTCTCCCGAGATCATCCGCCGTCTCGGTGTCATCGGCATGAACACCCCCGTCGAGGTCGACATCTACGCCCACGCCAACTCCACCAACGTCATGGGCTCCCGCATGCTCAACGGTCTCGGTGGTTCCGCTGATTTCCTCCGTAACTCCAAGTACTCCATCATGCACACTCCCTCCACCCGTCCCTCCAAGACCGACCCCAACGGTGTCTCTTGCATCGTCCCCATGTGCACCCACGTCGACCAGACCGAGCACGATCTCGACGTCATCGTCACCGAGAACGGTCTTGCCGATGTCCGTGGCCTCAGCCCCCGTGAGCGCGCCCGTGTCATCATCGACAAGTGCGCCCACGACGTCTACAAGCCCATCCTCAAGGCCTACTTCGAGAAGGCCGAGTTCGAGTGCCTCCGCAAGGGTATGGGCCACGAGCCCCACCTTCTCTTCAACTCTTTCGACATGCACAAGGCTCTTGTCGAGGAGGGCTCCATGACCAAGGTCAAGTTCTAAATGCCTGACTAAAGTCAGAGAGTGGATATTTGGGAGCGAGGACCAGCAATTGATCTTTGGATAAAGACAATTGGCTAAACAAACACAACGTGGTATGGGGAAAATGCATTGGTTTGGTGTTATTTTTTTCCAATTCACGGTATATATCTTTATTGGTAGGAGAGAAAGAAATGAGAGGATGAGGATACCTGACCTATGTTGAGCGATAGGTCGCAAATTCTTTTTTTATTATCATATCTTGTTTTGTATATGGGATTGGACGGGGGGCTAAGGGATTGGCTTTGTCTCTCTGTGGTCTCGTAAACCAAGGGCGTTTTTGTGTGGACGTCGTTGGTATATATACCTATACACATACATACATGCATTCATACAAATCTGAGGACTGGGGTGTGAATGGTGATGTCTTTGAATCGAAATGTTTGGATGAAAAAGAACAAGAAACATTCGTGGAGCAATTACTGACCTAGCGCAATGTGGCTGCACATGATGGCTGACGATGAGAGTTCGAAACAGTTTCCTGACAGGTAATCCTGTCTAGAGCGGGCTGTTTCCAAATCTGACCAGCTTAAATGAAGCAAGGGGACTCAAAAACCATTGCGGCGTGGGTGAGTATCCATTTCGAGATCCGTGATAGCAATTAAAGAGCAGCTGGAGTGCCGTGCGTTGTGATAGGAATAAAAGACTAAACACCGTAAGCAGTCATCGTGGCTTGTGTAGAAGGAAACCCCGGCGTCAATGGTGCGGCGAAAAAAAAAAAAGAAGAAAAAAAAAGAGAGAATAGCATGCAAGATCTGCTTACTTCGATGTTTCCTGTCCGGGTGTTTAGGAGCGGGAGACACAGCGCTACGAATGAGGGACTCGACCCCCAGAAATGAAATGGCTTTCGGGTCGGGTGCCATGAACATGGAACCTGAGAAAATGGAACCAAGACAACATAACACAAACCATCTTTGAGGTACATTTACTGTGTAGAAAGTTGCTAATTGTACCTAGCAAGTGCTTCAGAACCGGGACAAAAGTCATCGCCAATCTTAACCAACGAGCGAACCTCGCCAACCAACCAACCACTTATATTGTACACCCAATTCGGGCCTCGCTCGCTCGCTTCATCTAAGGTAGACTTAGCTTCTCCGACCGCCCCATCAGGCCAAGTCCTGTACTCCTGTTCGACTGGTTGCGGTCGGCTCCCAATCGGTACCCTACCGGTAGCTAGCTTGCCTAGAACATCGGATCGGCGTCGAGAAAAGAGCTGAAAGAGCTGAAATAAGAAAAGCCCTGTGTGTGGGTCCAACCGCGGCTGCTTCCCGTCCCGGCTGGGCCCGGCTGGGCCTGGCTGGGCAGTCCAACGGTGCACGTCGGCGGCGTTCGGGTACGGGTGCCGTGCCCTGTTTTTTTTCCATTCTTTCTTTCTTTCTTCCTTTTTTCTTTTTTTTTGTTTCTCTCCTCTCTTCTTTTTGCGTGTTAATCGCACATTACACTACCGTCTATGTTCCTGGTCGTCCATCTACCACTCACTACCTTAGGCAAAGGGGTTTGCTTGTTAGTGTGTACCCTGGTTTTATAGGACACTTGTTTGGTGAGTGAACTTCTCCCAGCACATCACCTTTTCCAACATTTTGATTTGTCTTCACCCCTCCAATCTTCTCAATTTCGAGGCTGGTCTATCAACGCTTTATTCTCATAGTGCTATTTGGTCTGGTCCCAACGCAACAACGTCGGTTGAAACGGGCACCCCCGAGTTCCCGAGTGTACAACTGCTTGGCACCACAACGTTGGATTAGGAAGGTGATAGTGCACCAGGGTGACGAGACGGAGGTTATTTCGGGCGAAGAGCCCTTGAACTAGGCCTGCTGGCCTGGATGCCAGCGGTACACTATTACCATCGTGCCGAGCACCGAGAACATCTTTTATTTAGGTAGGTATCTAGGTACCTGCCTAACCGTGTCGGTCTGACTTACTTCGGCTTAATCTCACTTCTTCATATATCATCGCCACCGCTATCATCACACACACACACGCCGCAACCTACCTACCTACCTACCTACTTACGTATCTAGGTCACATATACAAACCAATCCAACCTGAGAATCATCCATTTGACCCTCTTTGTTCTCCTTTTCCCTCTTTTTCTTTTCTTTCTTTTTTTTCCCTTTTTCCGTTTCAACTGGTCAATTTGTACCTCAACAGTTACAGAACCTTTCGGCAAGCCTCATCGCACCAAAAAAAATTTCCCGACAAAAAATCGCGATGACAACTTCGTTCCGCCGTTTTCCGGAGCTCCCATGGGAGATTCGATCCATGTCTCGCATATGGGAGCACACGGTCGAGGTCAGTATTATATACTAGGTATACAAAGGAAGTCACCAACGAACTGAGAGCGCGGTACAATCTTGAGCCGTCTGCTTTGCCCTAGATTTTCCGTCTTCCGATTCCGGTCACCCACCCCGGTGCCTGCGCCCCTGCACGCCTGTCGGGAGGCGCGCAACCACCTCCTCAGTACGACAAAGGACGGTGGTGGTGGTGGTGGTGGTGGTGGTTTGGGGTATTACCGGAAGGCCTTCTACGAATTGCCGGCCACTATGCGGGACGGAAGAAATAAAACCTCTACCGCTGCACAAGCTCGATTTCCGGCTAGAGTTGGGCCTGGACCTATTAGGACCGCGTTAGGTCTATATGAATTTCGAGGCGGATATGATCTCGGTCGGTTATACTAAACTTGAAAGATTTCTCTTGTTCTATAAGTAGGACATCACGCGGCTCAAGTTTGAGCGCGTATACGACGACGGGTTTGTTATTTCCATGAACCACATCTACAAATGGGTCAACCTCAAAGAGGTCCACATAGTTTGTAAAAACGGCCTGGAAAGCTTGGCTTCGGTGGATGACGATTTCCGTTGCTGCAGTACTAGAAATATCCTGCTGATCGATGGGAAAACGGGCGAGACGGCACGACCCTTTGATTTTGCTGCGAAATGGGACCTGGATGAGCTACGGGCGGTGCAATACAGGAAGCACGGAGCACGCATCAACCCTGACACTAATGTGCCTTTTGTACCTTGGCTCCCACCAGGCTGGCTTGAGGGAGATGAATTCTGGGTTGAAACCTATTACGAGAATGGCGAGGAGGAATGGAAAGTGTGGGGTGATCAATATCCCGATGAGTGAACGAATATTCAAAAGTTCATGCGTCCAAATTTTATTCGTGGAGAAGAAGAATGCGAATGGGGGTAGGGGGTTCACAATCATCCTGTTCGTCTTCCGGCTTCCGTAGCAACAAGGTCTACCTAGGTACAGGTAGGTACCCTGTCGGCAATATGTCGAATCGATGCGCTACTGCCGAGCGCCTCCCCCGAGATTCCAATGTCGAGATGTCTGTCGTTTGAACTTTGGATCCCTCCTGCTGGGCACGGGTCTACCTCTTTCTCAATATTCCGGATCTCGTTTACGCCCAGAGTGCCAAATCTCGGTCTTTGAGACGGGCGCAAGCGTTGTCGTTGTCCTAGGTGGTGTGGACGGCGCAGGCCAGGTGATCGGAGTAGGGATAGGTAGAGGTAGGCACCATCTGTCCTCACCACCAAGTTGGCTGAAAGAACATAATGTGTGGTAAATGGTGACAGTTTCGGTAGGTAGGCGCGCAGAAGATCTATGCCTATCGCCAGAACAAAGCCATATTCCTTCTAGCCCCAGAGCTAGTACTACTACTACTGCTACCGCTAATCAAGGTGCTGGTGGAGACCGCAGAAGTGATCTGTGGCGGCAGCGTTTCCAACACGGCGTTCTCGTCGTTATCCTCAGCCATGAAAGCGTTGACAAACCCCTTTCCGCCGCAGAAAGCGGTCGGCTCGCCGCTGCAGGGCACTTTCCAGTCGGACTGGTTTTGCGCAAGGCTTGCGCCAAACCTTCTGCCAACTTCCACGTCGTTCAGATAGTCGCTGCACCAGCACTGGTTGCCTTGCTCAACGCCGGCGTAGCTGTAAGAGTTGCGATAGCAAGTATCCTTGCATTTGCGTATCGTCAGGTTCGCATCGCCCCGGCCGCGCGTCGGCGGCGGTTCGGGTTCGGGTTCGGGTTCATGTTTTGCGCGAGGACGTATGGGGCGTATGGGTTCTCGACGAAACAGCCCAAGTCTTTCCAGGCGGCCGGAGAAGGCGCCGGGCGGGAAGTGGTGGTGGCGGTGGCTGTGGCTGTGGCTGTGGCTGTGGAAGAGGATGGAGGTAGTGCCTAGCCTAGCGGTATTGTACCTTCATGGCACTACCCCCATGAGCGGTGAATACTACCTTCCTTTTGAAGTTAGGTACATACTTTCGATGAGATGAAGACAAGGTTGAAATTCCCTGTCAGGGACCGAATGACCTAAAAAGTTTGTGATGGGATTCAGGGTCCGGAAGTGTATGATAGGTGGGACTCTGCGGACAAAAATGCGGGACGGGCCGCATTCAGGATAGTGCAGATCACTGTGCCTGGCACTGCCGCACTTGGCGACATTTTTGCCGCGCCGGACCCGCTGATTTGTTGACATTTACAGGGCATTCGCTTGGGGTTACACACCGAGCTCGGCGGGCTTTTTCTGATATTAGTGTTGTCGACCAGGTATTTGGCGTTTTCCATGTGCTGGGTTTCGTCTCCCGTCTTGTCTCCTTAAAACATAGGTAGTCTGTTCAACAAAACCGGGGGCACTCTATGGAGATTTATTAGAGGTAGGTACCTCCATCCATTCCATGCCCCCAGTTACCATCACCGTCACCTGGTCCTTTTCGGACCCCCCAGGGACAACTCACGCTATTTACTTCGGCATGTAGATGCATCTACTCCGGCTTTGTGCACTGTAGTCACCACGTCGGTACCTGCATTAGGTTGCACGTCAGAAATCTGCAGGGACCGCCCACGCCCCCAAGAGGCTAGAACAAAAAACATGTGAAATTTCACCCTGTTCTTGTCGGAACCCTTTCTTCCTTGGGACTGGACTTGTCCCAAAACACAACCTTTGGACACTTCGACTTGTCTTCACCAATCCATACTGCCCCATTCAAAGGATGGTCTGTTAACATCGTTTTTTTTCTTCTCATCCTGGTGTTGTTTAGTCTGAGCCAGGTGTTCCCAACAAGACGTCGGCAACCAAAATGGGCACACCGAAGCTCACCAGTGCTTGGCACACGATGCTGGATTAGGAAGGCGTGGGAGTGCATCAAGATGACGAAAGCGAGGGTATCCCGGGGGTGTTCACCTTTCTGTGTAAGTTAGGTGGATGTGCTGTCCACACTACGTAAAGGTAACATGACTCTCTCGGCCTGGCTCATCGCGGCGCCAGCTCAGGCCCGCGGGCCGGCTTTACCTCACTTCTTTATATCATCGCCGACACCATCATCATCATCACAGACCGCGGCCTTATCAAACTAGGGCACACACCAAATCAATCTTACACCAAAAGCTTCAGCACCTCCCCCCCTCGTTCGGTCCCACGATTTTCGGCAAGCCAGCGCACAATTCTCCTAGCAAAGCAAGGCAAGGCACAATGACAGCCTCGTTTCCTCGTTTCATGGACTTCCCCCTGGGAGATCGAGCTCGGATATGGGAGCACACCGTTGAGCCCCCCACGGTCGAAGCCCGTATAACATTACACGACAAGCCCGTCTCCGACGCAGTGATAGCCAAGCACAACATAGAGCTATGGGATGCAAACCACTTCAAGGAATATCCTTTTGCGGCCATCAAGCGGCTGCGCTCATTTACCCGGGTGCCTGCGACCCTGCACGTCTGTCGAGAAGCGCGTAACCACCTTACCTGTACGGAAAAAAAACATGGTGGGGGCGAGTTGGGGTCATACTGCCACCGCTACCGCTACCGCTACCGCTACCGGAAGGCCTTCCAAGGCGTGGAGGACACCAGGGATTTCAATCTGGGCATGTCATCGATAATGGAGCAGCTACTGCCGCCCGACGACTTCTGGCTGGAATTATTAGGCGTGGTGGACCTGGAGCCGCGCTACGTGTGGTTCAACTTTGAGATGGACATGCTTTCCATCGGCCAAACTTTCGTTAACTACCTCCAGTATACGCTGGATTATAATTACATCAAGCGGCTCAAGTTTGAGCGCGAAATCCATGAAGAGTTTGTTGACGGTGATATCGTCGACCTTGGACATATGGATAACCTCCAAGAGGTGCACGTCGTCTGCACGGACGGCCTCGAAAACTGGGCGTTGGTGGAGGACGACGTCGGTGGTGGCCGGAAAAAGATTTTGGTGATCGATGGGAGGACCAGCGAAACGGCGACACCCGCCGATTTCGCGGCCAGGTGGGATCTGGATAAGCTACGGGCGGCGCTGCTCAGGACGTACGGAGCACACATCCAACCTGGCACTCATGAACCTTTTGTACCGCGGCTCCCGCCAGGGTGGCTTGAGGGAGAGCAATTTGGCGGTGAATACTGGTACGACAATGGCGAGCAAGACTGGAATGACGAGAATATTGACAATTGGCTCAATGTGCAACGGAGAGGTTTAATGAACAGTGGGCAGTGGGCGGTGATTCTGAAGAGCGCTGAAATTTCGAGGCTTTCAGGTTAGGTGAGGAAGCGTGATCTTCCCCGGCGGAGTTAACGGCGTGTTGTCGGCGTTCCGTTAACGGGTCGGGTACTGCAACCGGTTTTTTTTTGGGTTTTTTTTTGAGTGTACCCAAGTCATAGGAAGAAATCCCGATTCGTCATTCGTGGCTGCATCATGCCCAAAATTTCTGGTCGTTGCATATTGGGGAATTTGTCGATGATGCATGATCTGTCCTTTGATTGAGGCTTTGATCGGCATGTGCAGGCGGATTTTCAGATCCTTTTCTCTGATCGCAGGAGACGGGACACTGATTTTCTTCTTTTTCCCCATTAGTAATATGCCAAAATGGTGTAGGTTCTGGCTCGAAATGCCTTCTTCCCATGGTTTCTGTGGATGTCAGATATCTTTTCTTGCGATTGATGAAGCCCAGAAGCGTTCAGATGCCTTATCCTGCTGTCTCCAAGACTTGGTTCGTGCTGGAAAATTGCCTTACCGGGACAGTTTTCCAGGATTCATGATGCACGGCATTGATGCATGTTGCCTTCATCGAAACCCAGATTTCCTGGAACGCCCCCCATTTATGCTGACAGCTGCCTTATCCGGCCGAGCCGAAATATTATGATTTATGTTCCCACAAGAGAAAACGAATGTGTCGACGGACGGTAGGTAAGAAAGATGCCTTGTCGAAGAGAAATCGCCGGGCATGCCCACACGCTGTATTCTCCAGAATTAATGGCTTCCTGATCAAATCACAACTTGGAACATGGCGATGTTGAAACCATGAAGCAAAAGCGACACCCTTTGCAGCGTGCTTGCAGGTGCCAATATTTATTCAAGGCCGGATGGAGCTCCGTAGCTTCAACCAAGTCCGCAGCCCACATGATGCGTCCATCTCGCAGCAGTCGAGATTCGAAAACGCTGGAAGGCATCCGTATCGATCCTCATGCGGAATAGTCAAGGCAACGCCGCAGGAAAAATGCTTCGGAACAGGAATATGTGCTGCAATGCAAAAAAATAAAATGCACAGCACGAGAGAAAGGCGTCTTCTCTCTGGTGGAAAGTCCAAAGCCTTCCCTCGGTGGTGTCCTATTTATTTCCTCCTCCTCTTCCCAACCACCAACATCAATGAAATCGGGAAGACCATCGAAACGATCCAATTTTCCATCGAGAGGTCTTGAACTGTCATTAACTCGACACCCAGTTTCATCTTTCTAGATTGGACAAACTTCCAATCAATCCGGTAATTTGCTGTCTGTCTGTGTTGCTGCCTTCATCAACCATAGCATTCGGGACCGTCTGTCCTCCAAAAGCTTCGCTGCCACGAAGCCGCTCCTCGTCCGCGAAACAACATCGAGCTGTCCTTCGAAATCTTCTTCCGAAAAGAAAGAAGACCAACAAAACAACGTCTCTCCATACTAAACGTCAAGCCAACAAAGACCGAACCGTTTCGTCAAACTTCCTCCTAAATAGCCAGGTATGTTGTCCCCCAATCCCAGCCCATCCTTTTTGGAAAGATAAGCCCTTGCATCGATACTAACTGGCAGGTAGACGTAATCCACAGGCAAAGTTCTCGATAATTGCTCGCGCTGTTCGCCCACGTCCAAAGAAATCGACGCAACAGGACGATCCATCAACATGGTCAGGCCTCATACCAACCCGTGGGTCATAATGGTCGATGTGGACAGCTCCTCCAGCAGCTCCTCCAGCAGCAACAACAACAACAGCACCATGACGACCTCCAGCTCCTCCTCTAACAACGGCGGCGACGGCGGCAACAACAACGACAGCGGCAGTGACAGGTCCTCCAGGTACTTCAACCGCTACAGGGCCAGCTACTATTACGACCACGATGGAAACAGCAGCGACAACACCCATCGCCATGTAACCAAGCTCCCACAACCAAACGAGGCCCATCTCCGGACCCCATCTGACAACCCACCAGCCTACACGCCCCCTCTCACGGCCCTAGCTCGTGCCCACGTCCGCCTAAGCCACATCAGCTCCATCTCATCACTGCAGAACGCCACCTTCTCCTTGAGCAGAGCAAGCAGCACAGCCAGAACGCAGGGTGTCAAACCCCCCGGCTACAGCCTGAGAAACGCCCCAACCAACCTCCACAACGCCGCCGGCGGTGTGTATGAGCTAGCAGGTGCACCCGTCGTCCCCGCCGTTGCCGAACCGCCGTCCTATGCCTTCCACCGCCGTGACAGATTTCTGGAGACAAACCAGGCTGCAACCTATGTCCCCAACTCACCACAACTCCCGCCCCCATCCTACGGCGTGGCTCCTCGCATCCCTCTCCTCGGGGAGACGGCAAATGGAGGCGGAAACATCCGAATTGCCACAGAAGGCACAAGGACCCCTGAAATTGGAGGGTACATGACTGCTAGAAGCCTCAGAAGCCTCAGAGGTGCCAGAAGCATTGACAGCATCGACAGCATTGACAGCATTGACGAGATGATCGATCTCGAGCGGGGCAATTCGTCTCGCAACAGGGCGGGGGTTGAAGTCTTGAGGAACCGAATCAAACGTATAATCAAGTCGAAGAAATTCTTCCTGTTTTGCTTTTTATTGTTTGAAGTGGGTTTGTGTGCTCTCTTGTGGATAGCTAATCATCACCTGAATCCGAGCGAGGTCGTCGTGTAGTGACCACGCCGCAGTCTTTGACTACACGTATCCAGCTATTGGTTGTTATTGTTACTCAGGGCGTTGTACACAGACGACGTAGTCGGAGGGGGCATTTAGAGATGTTGTAGCTCAAAACATCAAATACGGGGAGAGATATGGCTGAGGAAGATGTTAGCAGACTTGTAATTGTTTATGGATCCATCCTTGCTTACATGCTGTTTTGACGGTACATTGGATTGGGATGGAAAGGTACATACAAGGACAAAGAAGATTGGAATATGATCGTTGCTTCCAGGTATACGCCCGCATACTCCCGTGGTTGCCCTTTGTAGACCGTATTGGTAGGTGCCACAAGCCCCAACTTCAGGAACTCCTCCGACCATACGGCTCAAACGGAAAGAAGGCGCTCAAAACCCCCATCGCCACAAGCAGAGCTCCGCAGATATAGAGGGGGGCACTAGTCGAAGTGTTCGCCACAGTCGCAATGACAGCCGAGAGAATACCCATGACACGGTTGCAAGCCACTGCCACTCCGTTTCCTGTCGCTCGATGGGCACTGGGGAGAACCTCTGGCGTGTAGGCATACAGAGTGCCGTAGTAGATATTCAGGCAGAAAGCAATGGAGCACGAGAACCCGACGTCTTGGGCACCGGTGCGGACGGAGGTGTAAGCGAAGAAGAAGGCAGCTGTCATCAGTGCTCCGATGAGCATCGTGTATCGCCGTCCGAGAAGAGGTATGTTGCACATCCAACCCGCCAGCAACGGTCCGAAAACAGAACTGATATTGGTAAGAGTGTAGTTGCGCCAGGTTTCGAACGTTGATACGTCCAGGTTTGCTCCGCGGGAGGCGAGATAGCTTGGCAAGAAGACGTAGAACAGAGGGTACGCTAAGCCCATCATTGCCCATGAGACCCAGATCAGTGTTGTTGAAAGGGATATCTTTGGGGTTGAGAACAATCCGCGAAGGTGTACAAGGGTCTCTGCGAAGGAAAAGCGGTTCTTGCTGTGGGTGCCCATCACTACACCGCATGCGTCGAGTTTCTCGGCAGTTAGAGAGCAGTGTCGGTTGTACTTTGAGGCTAGGAACAGCAAGGTATCGACGACCTGGACATCTTCACCCAAAGCAAGAAGGTATTTTGGCGTTTCCCTTAGTCGAATAACGGTGACTCGAAGGATGGACATGACGAAGACAAGGGCGCCGCTGGTGAACATGACGTATCTCCAGCCCATGTTGCTTTGCTTGGTGCAGACATCGATCGACGGGCAGTTCCATTTTTCGGGGACTAAAACATCAATGTCAATCGTCCACTCCCATTGGAATGTCGAGATCAAAGGATCACTCACCTAGAAATCCCCATGCGACAAACCCAGTGACAGCCTGGCCCAATCCCCACCAACCAGCCATCAACGTGAGCACCCACTGCTTGCTCCCAGGCAAATATTCCAAAAACACAGTCGTATCCAAAACGAGGTTTCCGCCAGCACCGAACCCGATAAGTGCAATCCACAAGCCCAGAGATGGCCAGTTCGGCATGGCCCCAGCGATGATGACGGAGATGGAGCACAGCAGCAGCGAAACGTTGAAGGCGAAGCGGCGGCCAATGATGTCAGCGCCCAAGCCCCAGAACAATGCTCCGATGAGCATGCCGACGTAGCCTGCGATAGTCATGGCATTGTTATATCCCTTCCCTCCGAACTCGCGAAAAGCCGGACCTGCGATGACGCCTTGCAGGAGGAGAACGAGGGAGTCGACGGCGTATCTGGTCATGGTGGTGAGTTGATGGGTTGCGGGTATGGAGACGGTATACGCACCCAAAACCGTTGAGGAAGAAGAGCTTCGTGTGGTATGGCGTCCATCCTATTTCATCGATGGCCTGCAGCAGCGAATCGGGGTGGTTAGCGCAAGGATGCAGTGCAGAGGATGCACAAGGACCACGCGGTTCTCACATTGTTGACCAAGTGCATCTTTCTATTGAGAGCTGGGTCGAGGTCTTGTAGGCCTAGAATGTCTTCGCTATCATGCGTAGCGGTGCTGTTGACGGCTTGCAGGTTTATGGTGCTAATATTGGTCTTTTGTTGTTCATGGCTTTTCGATTTGCCCTTCTCGGGTGGTGCTGGAGAGGTCGTCATCTTGGCACCGTTTGTGATGCGGGGACGCTATTCGTCGGAATAAAAGAGATTCTCAAAGAATAATGAGGACAGCGAAGAACTGTGCGACGAGCAAGACCAAAATCAATCGCGTAGGGCCATCCCGTATCGGGGGAGATACACCTCGTAGGTAATGGGCCTTGGAGAAGGATAGGATGAAGTAGACGGTGCAAATGGTGAGGCCGACAAAGGTGAATGAAGACAAAATGAAGAAGCGGGGGATCGGCGAAAAAACTGAAAAAGTTTGACTGGTGCACTTGAACCGGAGAGGGGAAGGAGCACTGGGGATAGAGGCACAACTTTGAGCTTGGCGGTCCTGCTCGTTGCCGTGTCACACATGCTTTAGGCTCTTCGTCGCGGAAATTGAGGTGGTCTCTTGTGTAACTGCTGCCCGTGGCTTTGCTTATCATGTTTTCCCCGTCGAAGCTGCGGAGGTGGCGCTCGAAGGAGGACAGCGGCCTGATAGTTGTCGCATACGTATGTAAATTCTCACCAAGAGTTTGATGATGTTGATCAACCCCGTGCAGGACGCGACAAAACGACGAGTATGTAGGTCATGTTTAAGTCCCCGAAAGGGCGGCCCCACCCCCGCACGCACTGGGTCCTGGACCGTTAACGGCCCCATAGACGGAACAAAACCCCACCCCCGGACCCCTCCGGACCGCTCACCCCGTGCGGTCTTATTGACTGGGGCATTGTTGTGCTCTTTCATTCGCCATGTTCCGGTATTTGACATACTCGGATACATCCAAAGTGGTGGTTCGCGGACCACGTACGTACCTTGGGGGGTAGTGCGCCCGCCCTCCCGCCTGAGCCAGCATGCATCAGAGCGATACACACCGGGAGCTGCTGGGTTGACTGCTGAATGAGTGGCCAGAAACCTCCCGCCAGGAAGGTCTCACGCGTGCAACAAGAACTGCTACTGTACTTCATATCCGCGAGAAAGAACACAGAACGACTGGACGTGGATAGCCGTACCGAATCCGGTCGGGTAGTAAGGACCAAGGTACGTACCTCGCAAGTCGCATCATATATCATTTTCTTGGGATCATACTGCGTGCCTCGCAAGCTATAACCGGACTCCCCGCTGTAAGCGCGAGATTTACTCTTCCGCTCAACAGCCATTCCACACAAGTCCGCCCCAACAATGATCTCAATCACAAGAGTTTTGAGAATTGCTACACACGCTCTCCGATTGCTCGTCTTTACAGTGGTTCCGTTGTTCATTCATCGTTCAAGTGGTTTTGTTGACTGCCTTTGCAAATGGCACTGCGCTAACAAACGATTCAGCATCGTGGTGAACGTACTGCCGACGGAAGGTAGAGTCGTGATGTACTTTTCGCATATTATCTCCACAGTCAAGTTTGCACAACCACGCTTACCCTACCACTTCCATCGTACCCGTGCATGGAGGCTCTAGGAAAAAAGACCGAGCACGGGACTTCACAGCCAACCTGGGCCTCAAGGCTCAATGACCTGTGAAAACTCAGCAGTCCTTGATTTTCATGATGCGGGACAATTAGCAGGGGGAAACATGAAAAGGTACCTCTACGAAGGTGCTCTGCTCATCAGAGGAAGGTAACTGCTGTGTTGCAACAAGGCAACCAAGCGCATCAAGGGTTCTTGGCAAAATGATGGTATTGCCACAACGCCATATCTGTCCCACCAGTGCACGTCTCGACGAAGGTACTGTATTTGTTGGACTAACGATTAGGCTTCAGAGCGCTGGCGACCGATGGCGGCGTGCACCCTATCTTTCAATATCGGCGGCGCGGTTGCGGTCTTGGCATGTGTACCTTGTGTCTACAAGGAGGATGGGGTGGCTTCTGAAGACCAAGGTCGTTGCTTCCCTGAAGTGCTTTTGGTGCCTGAAAGAATGAAGCAAGCAGTCTGCGCGTCAGGTACGTATTCTGCATGCCAGGTACGTACAGTCTGGATGCACCCCAGTCTTTTATGCATTACGTAGGTATCGGGTAGTGAGCGGGCTACTGGTTTGCCAGTTCAACGTCCAGTTAAGGTCCGCGATTGCCACCTCCATGCACGTGGCTATGTGAGCCGCACGACACATCAATTTTTCGATGTTCGACACAACCCTTATGGTCTGAGGTATTGAAGGTATGTAGGTATCTATATACATGCACATCCATCAATGAGTTAGCAAGGAGAGCAAGAACCTGCAGGTAATACCATTGTTCTCGAGTGCCGGGACGTTAGCCGACGTCTGACAGACTGACAGCTCAAGCTTTCTTTCCACGCCTTAACGATATGTCTTGTCTCAACTCCCAAAGTCATACACTTTTTGCGACCTATCATCTGCCTTATTCGTACTGTCACCACATTCAGCCTAACGAATGTTCCACAAAACCTTGCGATGCTTTCCGGCATTCACCTACCCATAATTGCCGTAAACGTCTCATTCCACGTTTTAAAACCCCTTCTTTGCACTGAAAGCACTTACTAATCTCCTTGCCATGATCTATTATTGGCAGTAGTTCTCCAAATTCATGCGATATCAGTGACCCCCCACACAGTCTTGCATCAGGTCAGCTAATGTTGGCAAGTTTTCACCGCTTCGGTGGAGCAAGCTCGTCAGCTCAATCCGATGGCCGTGGTAGAATGGGTTCCGTTGTTCATTCGCCGCTTTCCACCGACAAGGCGACCAGGCGTGGGAGTCTATCGAATAGCAGCACGATCATCAACAACTGGCGGTCTCACGAAGTCACGGAGCACATGCCTCATACATCATACGCCCTAATCGTCAAGTCTCCTCAATACGCAAGGGTTTGAATGAGGTGTCGAGATTCCTTGCTGGTTGCCTTGTGATGGATGATGAGCTGGCACGGAAAGAAGAGAATCGCCTGACGTGATGAAATGAGAACAGGATGTGTGCCGTGTTTCAGGATGATGCGGAAGTTGATGGAAGGCAAAATATCCTACACTGACGCCGGACAGATACTCAATTTCGCCGAGTAGGCGACGGCGTCCTGGACGGCTTTTCCGACGTGGTTGAAGATCCCCCAATGGATGGGAATTCGAAGACGCGGGCACCCAGTCTGCTCATCAGCCAGGAGCACGAGAAATGTCATAAGAAGTGCCGAAATCCACCTTCGTGAAGCTGGTCGATTCCTAACTGTCCGTCTCATCGTCATTATTATTCCAACCGCTGCGCTGTCTGTGCTGTCGCCCGACGTCAACCATTCTCCAACTAGAACAAACTGGAGCACCAGCAGTCAAGAACCGCGTCACAAGAAACTCGACATACAAAGGAACACCACCACCACCACCCAAGAGACATCACCACATACGAAATACTATCCTAAAGGGGATACCATCTTCATAGTCCCAGGCACTAGTTTACCGTCCAAAGACACAATCGTCCGGGACACACCACCCGACCACCGTCCAAGGTACCAGGCACCACGCAAGACACTCCCACACAAAACGCCGCCCAATAAGCCATCACCGTTCAACACCGCCGTAAAAGAGACACCCTCTTCTGATCATCCTCAAGGCATCAATTGTTCAACCATGGAACGCGACCTTGATAACCTTCTGGACGAGATCCGCCGGGGTTCATCCTCGGCCACGACCCCTGCCAAGAACGGCCCCAGAGGCAACTCCACCACAAGATCCGTGACAGGTTCGTCTGATGTTGGACGCACTAACATTTATCTTTCCCATAACAGCATAATGATAGCGCTAGGTCGTTAGCTTCGATATCACTTACATTCCATCCGTTCACTAACCTGCCCCTGCAAACTCCACAGGCACAAACACCGGCGCCACTGGGCGCACTGGCAGGACATTGCACCCCGTCGACAGACAAAACACTCGGATGAACGACCGAAGCAGCAACACAAGCTCGACGGTCCAGACACCAATGGAACGCTTTGAGGCCGAGAATTTCACCGATGGCCCATGGCATACTATCGATGGGGTGTCTGGCTCTGGTTCTGGGTCAGTCTGATTGTGGTCAGCCGCCTCAAATATCGCTGATGAGGGTGATTGGGGTTCTGTTAGCAGGGTCTTTCTTTTGGATAGAAAATGGAAACGATGAAGACATAATGTATTCAAGGACCAAAAGTGTATGTGGCGGGGTCGAAAGAAGGGAGCCATCCAGGTGCGCTCACTGCAAAATGTCCATTTACAAAGCAGCGAAACGCAACCAGATTTTGCGAATAGTGAATAGGTATCATGACAATAATAACCAACGCTATTTCCAAGAGAATCAATCCAGCCCTGAATATGCTCCAAGAGAACGCGAGTGAGAATGCTTGCCAAAGTCCCGCAGGAGCCAGCAGCAGAAGCGCGAATCCCCAATCCGCTGAAAAAGTGTGTGAAGAAATCCACAAGAAACAACCGTGCATCCAAATCTGAAGCAGAATGACAGTGTCTCCGGGCCATGCCGTGCTGTGCCGGGACCCACACGAGTGGCTCCAGTTCCGGCTCCGGCCCGGAAGCTCGCCCGGACACGCAGAGACCACCGACTTCCCGGACCTCGGATCAGACCACCTCAACTCACAACTTGAGCCAACCTATTCTCCCTTCTCCGCAGCGCCTCATTACAACCTTGCCCTTACCCTCATTTTAAGCAACAACCATACAAAAGCTCTATTCGTCGTCGTCCAGCCATAGTGAACAAGCTTGGAGATGAATCAGATGAGCCTCCCTAGTCAGACCCGTTGCGCCGTGGAATATACACTTGTACATGGTTGTTTCGGACAAGGGCACGCACGAGTTTTCCATGCGCAAATGGATTTCGTGGCCGAGAAGTATGGTCGTGGTATAGCCGCATCGCCCGCACTTGTAGTGTAGCTGTTCTGTCGTTGACTCTGCATCTTCTTCGAGATGGGAGAGATGTTCTTCTTGATCCAAACTCGTCGGGCCGTGCAATTTGCACTCGTACATGGCTGGCCGGGATCTTTCTACACACGGGTTTTCTCTGCGTAAATGGTCTCTGTGGGCGGGAAGCCAGTGTGTCATCCAGAGGCATCGCCCGCACTTGTAAAATTTAGGAATTTGCGCCGCATCTTCCTCAAGATGGGAGAGATGCTCCTGTTTATCAAAACTTGTCGGGCCGTGAAATCCGCACTCGTACATCGTGGGCTCCTGCATTTCCGTGCAGGGCTTTTTTGGTGTGCGAACATGTCTTAGGTGATCAAATCGCCTGGTCGTGGTCAGGCTGCACCGGCCACATTTCCATAGATTCGACGTCGACCCTTCATCTTGATCGCTAGTCCTGTGGACCGCGGAGCGGTGATGTTGATCGCGATGCCATGCTGTGGTAAATTTAAGTTCATCGCAGCCTTTAAGGCACGTAAATAGATGGGCTTCTCTTATGTGATTTCAGTAATATGAAGAGTGTTAGCTCAACGTCTCGGGTCTCCATTGGTCTTGTTGCTTCTCTTATCCGCAATTTCTTATTGGTTTATAGTCTCCATCTCTGGGCAACTTTGACTTACTTCAAGGCTTCCTCGCTGTAAGTCACTGTATTTCCTCGTTTTTCCTGAAGACAATAAGGGCATCTTTCTGGAGCCATAATGGGAGATTCTGTTGCTGTGTTCCCGCTTCTTTCGGGCTGCGCCCAAGACAGTAGCGTTTTAGAGCCACGATGGGAGACTCGGGGGGATATTGGAGGGCTTGGGTAAGGGTGCTGTGACTCTTCATACAACTGGAGAGCCTTTCTCGCGATAGCACGCAATTGCTGCTCTGTATATCTCGGCCCTGAGACCTCCTGGCGAAAGTCTGGTTGCGCGATAGATCCAGACGAAGAAGACTGTGACTAAAGTTCCTCTTGTCCAGACTCTTCCTCTCCAGGGGGATCCATGGACCGATTTCTCGTGCTGTCGTGAGGGTTCGCCATTGAACCAGCGTATTGTTACTAGGTGATGGATAATCGAGGTACTGATTGGGGTCAGCCGATGATTGATGGCAATGGTCGGATTGGTCGTGACGCCGCGAGCTGTGACAATTATGGTTCGGCATCTCCCACAGCCATGTAAAATGGTTCGATTGAGAAATGGGTGCAAGCCGTGGTATCGCGGTAGAAGATAAGGCAGAAGTGAAGGATGATGCGTGGGCTAATATTTGGCTGGAAGTGGTTAACAGATCCGACAAAAGAAATTGACTTCCGGCAAGGGAACGGGAGTGAGCTTCGAGGAAGTGGACAGGCTTGTCTGCACCTCTGGCTGATGCGCACTGCAGGCACAAAAGGGAAGGGACATGCATTGCGTGGGCCACGCAGCTCTTTCCGGTATCCCACCAAAAGTCATTGCAGGCAAGTGGCCCCTTCCCTTTCCCACTTTGCACCTTGATGCCCTACTGAATAAACTCGGGAAATTGGCAATACACCACTGTGGGAAAACCACCTATTTCTGCCCGAAAAAGCACAGTTCCGTAGGGCTTAGGTCCAGTTTCCTGCGCTGAAATGTATATGTGTCAACGTGGAAGGCAATGTTGCTGGTTGGGAGCTTGTCAACTCGGCCTTTTCTACTGTCCTTTTGGCTGGGGGGATTTCAACTGCAGCAAAACCTCAAACACACCATACAGGGCACAGTCTGTATGCTGTCTTCTGTGCTTACTGTCGGGCTCTCTAAGAGGGAAGGTGTATTGGCAATTTCCCGAGTTTATTCGGTAGTGTACGGACGCTCAAATTCTGACAGCGCAAACCAAGTCGGCCATGACTTCCTTATCGTTGCAAGAAATTCCCGAGAACTGAAGGACTGGATGTAAGGAAGGTAAGCGACAAACGGAACGCATCATCTTTCCTAAAACCTTTTTCCGAGAAGTAACAACCAATGTACGTAAGGTAGCCGGTCATTACCGAGCATCCATCTTCCGAAGCTGGAGAATATGCTTAACGTCCAAAAATAAGCGCAAAGCTTAATCTCTTCATTGGATTGAACAGTTCTTTTGTGTCACCAACTCTCTCTCCCGATGTCAGGGCATTCGGGTCCAGAATTCGGTGTTCGGTCTCTGGGTGCCAGGCTATATCCCATCCAACCCTTCATTTGGGGGTCAGTGGGGGTCATAATCCGTCGGGGAAAGGTGCATTCTTACCTACTTTTGGCCTTTGCCGGTGCCACAGACGGTAAACCAGAAGAGCCAATCGCAAAAATACCTACCACTTGACGTTCAGGTGATACACAGGCGGCTTCCATAAAAGCAATGAGGCTCGGCTGTCAGGGAATGCATCCCGTCATCACACCCTGATCAACCCACTTGTTGGGTGGTACTGTGCTTCTGGTACACTGCCATGCAGAATAACCCCTGGTCACAACGCTGCCGCCACCCTCGATCATCTTGTATTATTCCCTTGTTCTTGCTTTTGCACTTTCTAGGTATGTAGGTATACTTGCTACAGCTACAACAAACCTCAAACCCATGTAATTGCTATCCGATACTGCCTCTGTTTTCCAGCTGAGCTTGGCACTTTCCGCTACCGCGGATGCCGGACAGGTGCTATGTTACCACCGACCATATCCTATGGCCCGGACCGGGGATGTTATGCCACTTCCCGATCTCAACCTGTAGTGGTTTCCCGTTGTCCCATTCTAGGCTGTCGAAACAAGAAAGTTACATTCCGGCATCTGTCCTGTCTAAAAAGGCTCTTGGATGAAAATAGTGTACATGTAGTCATACCCAGTGGGGTGGGAAAAAACATATACATCCAGTTTGAACTGCGTTTTCTCGTCCATCACCGGGTACCGATCATCAACAACAGCCCAAGCAACGAATCTCATTAACATCAACATCATCCCAGCCTCAAAAGGCTAGACGAGCTACAAGTTATACTGCAGGCATGTACGCCAATCAAAGTAAGACGTCACTCATGGCGCTGTGCTGGGTGACTTTCTTCACGTCGTTGAGGGTTGGCTGCACAATCAGCCTATTGGTTGATACCTTACCTAACTGATCCAACACAGGAACAGAACAAAAGATTTCCGCGACGGTTTACGGGGTTCGTGCATGCATGAGTAAAAGAAGGATTTATCACCGAAACACGGTGGCGGTTTGCCGTGGGTCAGCCCATGGAAAGATTGGATTGGCGGGCAGAGCCTGCCCCCTCCTCCAAGGCCCAATATACCCGCACTGCAAAGCTCCTCGGATAGCACAGGGCACTGCAGGGGTAGTTTTGAAGAAGATGGGAGGGTTGTAGTGCTGTACATTCAAGGCAACTACCTCTACCCTAGATACGTTGCGCTCGGTTGGAGCCGCACATTGATAGGTAACGTTTGGAAAACTCGGACACCAATGCTTTACCTTCACCTTCCTCATGTTTGGCAATGCAGGAGGTCATTCTCAAATTTTCCTTGAACCCAATTGGTCTCCAGTGCCGCAAACTGCCTGAATCTGATCAGCAAAATGAATACAAACGAACATCAATGTCTTCCCGACATCTCTTTACATGATTTTCCGTCTCTCGGCTGGATAATTCTCAAATGTAAAAACGTCTCTCTATGGTATACGGTGGTCTGTTTCTCTGTTTTGTTGCTCTTGGGTTTGACGTCTCAAAGTGCATGTCCGGGTGCGCCCACTTGGGAATTGGGTCGCCTTGTTCAACGGTCTGCCGAGATCTGAATGGTCCTTGGAAGCCTGACTTCTGCTAAGAGGAGCCTGATTGGGTCATTGGGAACAGTTCCCGAGGCTGCTGGAGGACACAAAGATGTCAAGAATTTCGCCAAAATAAAAAGTCTTGCGGTCGTAACAGCTGTAAGACGAAGAGGGCCGCTGCCCGCTTTACAGGAGGGCGAATGACCGTCAGTCCCCGACGCCATCTTACCTATATGACCGCATTGCGCATCCCCGCACATGCCGCATGCATTTCCATGATGCAGCCGGGATTTGCCCAGGAACGTGTCGAAGATCTTGAAGGACCCAATGAGGTAAGGTGTTGCGCAAATCTTCGAACCAGATCGGAAGATTGCAGAAAACGTCAAAATCATCTAGCTTCGTCAGGTTGACACTTGACAGTGCGTATATCTTTCAACGAGAATGCTACTGGGAGTGACTAGTAATCCGGTGCCATAACCCCCAAAGCCAAAATGATTTCATGTATGTTGCCGTACTGATCACACGCTCTTAGGTACCAGGTCAAAAAGGTGTCAGGTCCTCTTGCGCAAAGATACGTCCCTTGATATTCCATGGGCTGGACACTCGTCCTGTCAAGACCCTCCTGTTGGAAGAATGATCGTGGAAAGATGCGGCCGACGCCTGCGCAAACCAAAGAAGAAGGGGGAAAACATAAAAGCCGGTCATGCCCATCAGTTTGATGGATAGAGGATCAATCCAACTTCATTACCATCCTCATCCGTCATCGAGCAACCATACTTCTGAAAAACTCACCATTCTTCTCTCTCCCATAATGTCGACTGCAAAGATGGTCCACGACCTCGATACTATCCTGAGGCAGATTCCCAAAGGGTCGTCTTTGGCCGACAAGGCTCATGCCACAGGTTCGTTAAGCAGGACCATGTAACGACAATATAGAAGAAAAGACTGGGTGTTGGCTAACCCAAAAGTGGATTTGCTCAGGCCGCCCGGCAAAAGCAGGACACGAATACCATAAGGTTGGCAGGAGTGACGACAAGAAGACTTCCAATGCCGAGGGGATGACACCGATGGGTCGTTTCCAGGCCGAAGGCTTCGGGGATACGCCGTGGCACAACGTCAAAGATGTATACATCCCGAAGAAGTGATTGTGGATGGACACTCGACCACGATAAGGGGTTCGACCCATCAGACATATGTATGATATGTTAACAAAGTCGTCCATGGATCAGAACGGGGGGAGCGCTCGAGGGACAACATAATATCATTACCAGTATCTCTCACCTGATTATGATGCATTCCGTGACAATGTCCCTTTTATTCCGATAATCCAATACCAAATGATCCCAACCATGAACAACACAAGACCGGTTCACCTTCCCTTTTGAACAACCTCTCCTACGCATATTATAGTTCAACCCAAAGCATAGACTGCAACCTCCACATCCGGAACCGTCGTCTTCTCCTTCCTAAACAGATCATCCCTATAAGCCGGATATGCAACCAACTTATTCCCCGCATCGATGACACTCAACGTCGTGAAGCCCTGTCCAGGACCAAACTGCCCGCTCCAGCTCGAATGCACCTCGTATGGCCCGCACAGCTCATCATTGTCCTTCGCATGCTTTGGAGAGCGCGAGGCAGGCACACCGGGGCCGAGAGACTTGATGGTGAAGGAGCAAGGGGTAGGAGCAAGCGAGGGGCAATTAGTGTGGATGATGAAGGACCATCCGCAGACCGTGTCAGAATCATCGCAGTGGCGCGAAAGGGAATGGATAGTCCAGGGATCGAATCTGCCGCAAGGATGATCCTGATCGTGGAGCTTGGGGGATGAATCGGCAGGGGGGGCCTCATTCTGTGACCAATTCTCATTGTCCGAGGAAGCTCCATGATCAGCGGAAGCATCATGGTCCGATGAAGCATCATTGTCAGGTTGAGCTTCTTCATCCGAGGGAGCATCATGGCCAGGCAAAGCCGAGTGATCTGAAGAAGCGTCATGATCGAAGGGAGCTTCGTCGTCTGAAGCCGAATCGTCATCAGAATCGGCATCATCCGAGGGAGCTTCATCTTTATGGTCGGATGGTGCTTCGTGCTCCTCGGATGTGCTGCTGGCAGAAGTCTCGACAGGCTTGTGCTCCTCCTCGGTGACAAAGTGTTCCTCCTCGCCCTCGATAACAGAGTGTTCCTCCTCGCCCTCGGTGACAGAGTGTTCCTCCTCGCCCTCGGTGACAGAGTGTTCCTCCTCGCTGTTGTCGAAGTGTTCCTCCTCGCTGCTGGCAGAGTGCTCTTCAGTAGCAGCAGGACCCTCTGCAGACTCGGCCTCAGAAACAGTAGCAGAAACAGTCACAGGTTCGACAGCCTTGGTCGCAGTGGTTGTCTCTGCAGCCTTGGAAGGGAAGTCCTGAGTGTCGGTAGGGTACAGGCCTGGATATGTTGTTTCCTCGGCGACGGTCGTGGTCTCGACAGAGGTTGTCGAGATGGCGGACTCGACCTGAGTGGGAAAACCCTCGGAGTAAGGAGGATCATTGGGCGTGGGAAGAGGTTTGCCGTGGCAAACATGGGAGGCGGCGAGGAGGGAACTGAGAACCAGACTCGTGTAACGCATCGTGGCGGTTGTCGAGTGAGACTAGACCGGAAAACTAGAGAAGACATTGTTAGTTGTCGTGATGATAATGGAGTGGTTGTAAGAAAGACCAAGCTCACCTCTCGAAGAACCTTGGTAGTGTTGACGCAATGATGCTCAGAGAATGGAAAATTGTCACCAAGAAAACCCAAGTGAATAGAGAAGCAATGAAGCGTGAAAAATGCCAAAGCAATGTAGTAGCAATGTGGTTGCAGAGCAAAGATGATGTTGTGCAAAGAGAAGCAATGTGGTGAATCGAGAATGAAGGGAGAGAGAAGTGGAATCCAGGGAGTTTAAATGGCCGCTTGATGGGCTCAGAGTTTTCGCTTCAACATTGTGCTCCTTCCTTTTGCGCCAACTTGTGACAGACGAAGGGGGTGGACTTTCCACATCGGCTATGTTGCGAAGAAAAGAGCGGCTTCAGAAGCACAAGAATCCACATGGTCGCGGATGTAACCACCAGGTACAATGATGCCACTCGTCACCGACCTCTGTGGTGATAACCCTTCCGTTCCTTCTGAGTGCTAATGCTTAATGAACGTGGAAGGCAATCCCGACGTTATCCTGGTTTGTCTTTCTTTCCGTCGTCAGCTTGTGAACACCACACAAATCCAGGATCAAACCGTCCAGGCTTGCAGAGCTGGGCAAAAGACCCGGCCGGGTAATACGCGAATTTTAAGAATACTTCAATGAGCGAACAAAGCGATGACAAGAAGCGACAGAGAGAGGTTGTGAGCAAAGATTGAAGTGTATATGCATCAGAAATAAGTATCAACAAGAAGCGAACAATATGTACATGCATCATCAACTTCCATCTCCTCTACCCTCCATCAACCAGCACCTTTACTTCTCTTCTGCCATTTAGTAGCATTGGGAGTACCAGTCATTGACAAAGTTGCACTTGTACGGGGAAGCGCAGGTCTTGCAGCCAGAGAAGTTGTTACCGCCGCACTGGGCCCACTGAGCGGCAGTGCAGGAGCTAGCCGTGGTGGTGACAGCAGGAGCGGCACTGGTGGTGGTGATGGGGGCACGAGTGGTTGAAGTAACCAAAGTGGTAGAGGAAGTGGAAGGCTTGACGGGGGCGGCACTGCTGCTGCTGCTGGGGGTGCCGGGGTTAGGGGAGGAGGAGCCTGGGGTGAAAGTGTTAGTGTGTGCCGGTCTGAGTGACAGAGAAAAGATGGAAGGAAAGAGTTCACGTACCAGGACCGGAGACGGAAGTGGTGATGCTGCCGCTCTCAATGTAGACACCAGACCAGAAGTAGTCCTCGGTAGTATCGGGATAACCATCACGGGGAAGCTCAAGAACACCGACGTGCCAGTCAGCACCGTTGCTGCTGGTGCTGGCGGACTGGGGAGCGATAACCCGGACAAGATCATCGCTGCCGGTAGAGTGCCAGAAACCCACAGTGTTGGCAGAAAAGTCGATCTCGTAGGCAACGTTGTGCCACACGCCGGCGTCCCAGTTGACGCTCCACTTGGTCTGGCCACCGATGCACCACCTCAGCAGGGGGTCAGAGATGCCAGAGGCGCCCGACTGCCAGCCGGACTTGAGTTCGGTGAAGTGGCTCTCGAAGAAGGCGATCTGGTGCTCGCGGGTGGTGGCAGGGGCGTTGGTATCCTTGCGCATCAGAGAGAAGTGGTAGAAGACCTTGCCCTGGTTGATGGCGGCCGTGGTCTGGGGGATCAGCTCGGTACGGCGCATGTTCTGGCCGTTCCAGTAGGCCGTGTTGTCGAGGGTAATTTTGGCACCCTGGTTGGAGCCGGAGTCGGCCGGGTTCTTGTAGCTGGGGGAGAGGTTGACATAGGAGGTGACCTCGGAAGAACCGTGGATGTAGTACTGGTAAGGGCCGACCTGGTTGCCCCAAGACCACTTGTTGAGGTCGGTGGAGGAGGTGAAGTCGTTGAAGCGGCCATCCCAGAGAACGGTACCGGCAGAGACGGTGAAAGCTTGGGCCACGAGGCCAGCAAGGACCGAGAACTTCATCGTAACGGTGGTGATGAGGATGGCTTGGTGGTGGTGGTGGTGGTGGTGGTGGAAGACAAGACACAGGGAACAAGTCGGGGAGATATGATGGGAAGTCGATCCATCTTATACACCTTGGCTTCCAATGCTATCCCCTGACCTCTTTTGGGTGTTGATAGAGGGTCAATCTATTCTTTCGGGTTGCCATTCCCGGTTCCTGGGTTGAACAAGCCGATGACGGGGACACGCGGTGTTTGTTGAAGAGTGGCAGGCCATGGCTGACGGTGCCGAGATTGGAGGCGCAAAAGCTTGATGCGTTCTCAACACTCAAGTTGTTTCAAGTCAAGGCATCGCAATAGCGGCCCGTTCGGAACATGATGCGACGCGATCCAGGGAGAAAGGTCGATGAGGTTGCATTGTCGCGGAGGGAGGACGGAAGGAGATGTTGAGATGCTGAATGAGGTAAAGAGTGGAGGTCGAGTCGGTGGAGGCGGCGGCTGCCCTTCCCGAGTTCGGGCGGTCCTCCCCCGCAAACTCGCTAAAAGAAGCCCTGAAGAAGCCGTTTCGTAAGCCTCCCTTCAGCCCCACCGTCATATGGCTAGGTAGTGAAACGCCAAACGCCAACCGAGCTTGGCCAGAGCTTGTTTTCTGTTTCCTCTTCCTACCCGCAACTCCGTCGATTTCTGTCACTTCGGTTCATGTCTTTCGGTCCTTCGAAATGTCACCAGCGCGCTTCTTGATAACGAATGGATATATTAGCCACCATTAGCGACACCCACCTTTCGGTCAGCTGGTCCATCTTCGCTTCATGGCCTGTCGCACGTCATCGACAACACAAAGTCCGGCATTGAGCCCTAACCCTCGTTTCTTCCCATGGCATCAAAACCACCACCAAGCGATGATCAAGAAGACCAACACCACGAAAATGAGGATCAAGTTGACAAAAGCCCTTTCCACCCATCTCTTGTTACACTGCTCTTCTCTCGCCTTCCAACCACCAACAGCCTCATTGGCATGAGGAAAGGGGATGTCCGGTATTTCCTTGTCAAAGAACTTGCAGAGCGGTTCCCAGCCGTCTTCAATGTACCACTCCAGCAGTCTGGAAGGAGGGACCAATCCTCGGATCATGTTGCAATGTTCTATCGGGATGATCGAGAGTCAACAGCCGTTCAGTATCTTGGGTTGAGCAATAGGTAGACAATGGCAAACATCCAAGACAGAAACGTGCAAAATGGCATCCAGTGGACCGACCACCATCCCCATCCAAGAAAACAAAAAGAGACAAAAGGCAAAACTCACCTCTCCAAACCCATCTCCCTCCACCCTCTCTCACCACACTCCCCAATTCCCCATACCCACCAACACACCTAAACAGCGCCGGCCACAGAAACCGTTCATACACATGCCACGCCCAGAAACACTCCCGGTCCAACCAACTAGCCACCCAAAAACCCCAGCTCTCATTCGCCTTGATAATCGTCTTCACCAACGACTCCTGCCACTTCTCCTCATCCCTCCGCATATTCAACACCACTTTTGCCTCAGGATACGCAGCTATTAACTCTGCGGCGAACACGGACGCTGGTGCGTCGGTTACGGCTTGGCAGTGTCCTAACAACCCCTCGAAGTCTGCTCTAGTTATCGTCGGGTGGGACTGGAACTGGAAAGAGTGGTTGTCGGCAACAGGGTAAAACTTCTTCCTTGCCAGCTTCACCCAGCCTGGTGAGTAGCAGAGGTCGGAAGGGTCGTAGACGACGTCCCACCCGTGGTAGACGTGGGAATATCCGAGGTGGGTGAGGGCTTGCGCGAGGGACTCGGTGCCGGTACGGGGAAAGCCAACGCAGATGATCTGCATGGGGCGGGATGGGTCCCTGGTGCGTGGTGGAGGGTGGTTGGGAAGGCGATAGAGGTGTTCGATGAGCGTCCAGATGGGACTGCTTAGAGGGAGGGAGGGCAGGGTGGTGAAGAGGGTGTGAAGGGTGGAGAGAAAAGATGGAGTGGTGGGATTGGACGACTTTGACAATGAAGTTACCAGTGAGTCCGAGGCCGCCTGGGTCTTGTCGTTGAGACCATGGTGAGTTTCAGGGTCGCCGGCGGGTTCAGGGGTGATGACTACGCCCCGCGGCTCGGGCCGGTCCTTCGGCTTATGACTATCGGGCAGAGCGATTGCCATTGTTCCTGAGAGTACTAACAAAGCGCAGGCAAAGGGAAAAACTTGATGATTGCATCAGTCCTCATTCAGATGAGGTGATCAGGGAGCTGCTTACGATTTATCTTGATTGTCGTCCCCTTACTCTCCGTCAGATCTTGATGTCTTCCAATCGGAGTGACTCCATTGAAGGGGCGGAATAAATCTCCATGGAAATAAAGTGTCGCGCGGCAAAAGACGTCAACGCGACATGGTAATATGCTCACATCGCGGCTATTTGTGAAGCTCATACAACAATTCCAGGCCGGCCTTAAGGGCCTCTCCTATAACACGGCAGTCGCAAACTTCCACGGACCAGGTTATCAACGACGTGGCTCGGTTCTCGGCAGCAATTCCCCATGGGGTGAAACGGACCGATATAGCCTGCATGAAGTATGAACAGCATCCTCCGGCTCTTGCCAGCGGTACTTATGTCGTGGACAAAGACTGAAGCAACAAGGATCAAAGAGGCAAACACGCCATTGAGGCTCAAACGGGTGTACGACCTCATTCTGCCCCTAACCACGTTGGGCAAATGAAGATTGATCTATCTGTTACACCGGGGCGGGAGATCAGTTAAAGTCACATGGCATGAACACTGTTGATTGCGGTAGAAAAGCAACATCCATTTTTGCGCGCAAGATTTCAACCAACTTAGCTAAGACTCAACTTCCAGAAAAACGCTCAGAGAAATACAACAATCCAAGCATACCACCTATACCCTCTTATTCTCCCTTCAATGACCATTCTTCAAACTCTCAACATACTCCCTAACCAACCCCTCCACGCCCTCATCCCTCACCAGCCCCAACTCCCCCACCGCCCTGCTCGTATCAAAATCCGTCGGCCAGCTCCTCAACACCTTTTCCAACCCCTCATCCCTCTCCTCCCTCACCAGTTTCACCGCCTCCTGTCCTCCAAACTTCTCTAACGCATCCAACAACTCCTGCACAGACACCGAAATCCCCGGGAAATTAATAACCCTCCTATGCGCCTCCAGCTTATCAGCATCCATCTCCAACACCCTAACCAAATTCTCCGCGATTATTTTGGGAGAACTCAAGTACGACATGAACGCGCGATCCTCAATCGGAACAACACATTCCTTCCCCGCCAGCGGCTCCCGAATAATCCCCGAAAGAAAACTCGAAGCAGCAGCCGTCGGCTTTCCCGGTCGTACGCTAATCGTCGGAAACCGCACGATAAATCCATTAATGAAACCCTTGCGATGTAAGTCGTTGATATAAGTCTCCATCATCAGCTTGTGCGCGCCGTAAGTACTTTGTGGTGTTGTGGGCGTGGAGTCGGTGACGATGGCGGGGAGCGGTAGGCCGTAGACTGCTTGGCTGCTGCTGTAGACGACCCTCGTGCCGGGCGCTTTAGTCCTGATCTCGTCCAGCAATAATCGCACCGAGTCGACGTTGACTTTTAGAGAGAGATCGAAATTGGCTTCGGAGCCGGCGGACATGATGCCGTGGAAGATGAAGACTGCTTCGAGCTTTGCGGCGCCGTTTGAGAGGCAAGAGGTGAGCAGCGAGGAGACGAAGGTGGGGGAGGTTATGTCGCCTTGGAGTGGGACGATGCGATTACTTGTAGGAGAGGAGGCGTTGATGAGATCCAGATCTGGGCCGGAAGGGATGATGGGCGGGGAGAGATCGGTTAGGTAGAGCGTGTGCTGGGCGTAGCGAGGGTCGCGGAGGAGACGGTGTGCGAGGAGGGGGCCGACGAGACCGCCTGCGCCGGTTATGAGGATTGATTTCTTGGGGGTGGACATGGTTGTTGTTGTGGTAATGGTGGTGGTGATGGCAATGGCGATGGTTGTGTTGGTGTCGAAAGTGATGATGTGCCTGGCGACAGATGATGGAGTCGCTGCAGGCGTTGGGAACGGGTTCGCGGAGGAGTTGGAAATGATCAATGAGGAAATGCAGAGGTTTTGTACTCACGAAATGTCCACAGGGGAAACGGCTTCCGGCATCAACGATGTCATTCCTCTTCGGAGAAGTGCGCGCCCGGGCAATAACAAGATGCCTTTCTGCACCCCGCGTCTGGGCGGGCAGCCTGGCAGCGTGGGCGGGCAGCCTGGCAGCGTGGGCGGGCAGCCTGGCAGCGTGGGCGGTGCGGTCGAAATGCGGGGGAAGCATGCTACCTCGGGTGCATCATGACCAGTCCCGGTCAAGGAAGTATTTGGAGCATTCTCCCCCCACGATGCTACGGGTCATCGTCTTCCCAGCAGTTGTTCGGCTTCCATGTCTTTTTCGGTAGGGGTTGGAGGTCAAGTTCTCAACATCAACGGCCAAGACATCGGTTCCTGTACACGATGGCGGCTTTCCCCGCGTTTTCGGGACGCTTTGACACGAGGAACCCGAAGCTTCGGGATACCGTATCCGGCAGAGGGGTTTCTTGGGCTGGGGCTGCCGAGACGTCAAAACTGGAGCCTTTTCCATCCCTCAATGACGATATTCGGAGTTTCAACAAGTGTGTCATCCCGCATCAATCAATCGGCTCACTGAGAGCGTTGCTCTGCCAGCCCCAATTGAGTCCAATCTCGCTTGGTCGACATCAACGACGTGAATAGCATCATCAACAAACCATGGCACTGTCCTGTCTTTGCGCAACCGTGCCGTCCACAGCCTCATCCATTTGTTTTTTCTCTCCTTCTTATAACCCCCAACCGTTGCATTTCTGTGCCGCTCGAGCGCATCATTGACGGTGTTTTTGTCCAGTGTCTTTCACAGTTTCACTCGCTTGAAATCCTTCGGGCAGGGGCACAAGGGGACACCACGATGCCGAGACCTCTCAGCCCTGGCGGATGTAACGTCTCTAGTCCTCATCTGTTCCAAGCGTGGGCCTGTACTTGTCAATCGCGCCCTGGGCAACCGCAAAAGCTGAACGTTACAGGGCGCGCTCCATCCCCCCTGACCTCACAACATGGATTTGGCCTGTGGCTGTAATTTCCGATGCGGCACGGAGCAAAAGTCTCGATGGATCGAGAGTTTCCACCTGGTTTTCTATTCTCTCACTTCTCTCTCTCTTCATCGGATCGCATCTTGCCTGTTGTCTTGTCTAAAGCATCTCGGATTGAAGCACCAAAAGGCTCGGATTATCGCGGTGGAGTCAGTCTATTCGCATCACATTGAGTGGCTCTTTTCATTACAACAACAAAAATCGGACTTTTTAATTCAATTCTTCAACGGCAAATATGTCATCTCCGCATCGCAGAGATGATGTAGACCCAAATCGCCGCCGTGCGCGAGCGTCAGTACCAGCGCCAACCCCGACGACATTTCTACTTGACCGAAATCGAAACCCCAAAAAGAGGGCATCACCGACACTCTCAGAACCAGATTCCCTCATTACTCCACCAGCATCAGTAACAAGCTCAATCGCAACTCGCTACTCAAAGGTCATCAACCAGGCAAACATGGCAACCCGAGGAGCCGCTAGCGGTTTCCAGATCATGGTCGACTTTAATCGTGGACTATGGGGGTTCTGTGGAGAAAAGGAGCAGATTGTGGGCAACTGTGCGCTGTCGGGGGTTTGCTACGATGAGGAGAGTTGTAAAGATGGATGTGGCGATTTGAGTAGGAAAGATTTGCGCGTTGCGAGATGGTAGGTCTTACGGTTTTTCTTCTTTCGAACTTTGGAGGATTGGCGATGAAGACGGGAACTGTACTGGCAGACATGAATGAACGGAAGCAGACACGCAGGAAAAAGAGATTGGGTGAAGAGGAATTGGAATTCCGCAGGGGCCTCGACGCTAACCGGCTCAACACAAACAGTTCAAGAGCGGACGCCTCCGGTAGCACCACCGGACCCTCCATTTGCGCAACCGCCTACCTCACGCTTGACAATAACCTCGGTCCCTTCCAGTACGTCGCCTGCGGCTGGACCACAACAAAAGCCCATTACACCGCTTCGCAAGCTGATGCCGCTCTCAATCCCTTCTTGACCACCACGTCATCTTCCTCATCCGCTCCCTCCTCAGGTTCCTCACCAACCGTTCTCTCTCCAGCCTCCTCATCGACTCTTCTCCCATCGGCGTCTACCCTTGCGAATCCAAGTCAAACCATCACCACTATGGCCAACCCTCTATCCACTGACTCCCAAGATTCATTATCAGGCAGCAGTGGTAGCGGTGGTAGCAACAGCAACATCGGCGCGATCGTAGGCGGCGTCATCGGCGGTCTGGCAGTCATCTGCGCCTTTGCTTTTGCCGCTTATTTAGTCTGGGTCTATCGAATCCGAGACCGAAGGAAACAGGGGACTCATGCCTCACAACCTTTAAATGGCAACAGCGATGATAGCGGGAGAAGCTCAAATAACGGGAGCCCCAGCCCACCAAGTAACAACCTACAACATGTACCGTTAACTTATAGCCCAAATGGCCAGCCCCAACAATACGGATCTGGATCTGGACTAGGACTAGGACAACTGCCACCAAGTAATGCAAACGAGTACGGCATCCCCTTCGTCCCCATGACCGAAATGGAGCAAAGAAGGAGGATAAAAGACGCAGCGGAAGGCGGCTGGGGACCAAGAGAGTTAGATAGTGGGTTTGAGAGGGGTGGTTGGGCACACGAGCAGCAAGGGAAGGATGGGGGGGTGTATGAGGTGGTGACGGAGGAGAAGGTGGTGGAAATGCCGGTGGGGAGTGAGAGGTTTGAGTTGAGTAGTGGGTGGGAGGATCAGAACCCAAGAGATGGGCATACGGGCATACGGAGACAGACATGAGCGGTGATGCGAGGAGGAGGATATAGGCAAACGGGGGGTAAGTGATGGGGACGGGAGTGAAAGTGATCTGGATGGATGGATGGAGAGTACAAGAAAGAGGAAGAGGAAGAGGAGGCGACGATACCCAGGGACATGGATGTTCAAGATCAAGACCCGACGGGGGAAATGTAATGAAAATACGGACCACGATGATTTGCAAATCATGCATGAGAACGAGCGGGCGTCGGTTTAAATGGGAGGGCTAATATGAGGGCTAATTATGAGGACAGTCATAACACACCTTGTGTCATGCTGAAGTGTACGTACGACTTTTGTCTGTCTCCATCGGCACCCACTTGCGTCTTTGCGCCTTATAAGCCAAACCCGCACCACAGACAAGAACATACGACCATAGATGGTAGAAAACTCGGGATCCCGTCCGCTCTCCCATAGATAAGCTACCAATCGCCTGACTAGTAGCTGGGTCGGTGACGACCAGCGAATCCCAGGTGCTGTATGTTTTTTTTCATCTCGTGATCTTTTTTGGTGTTTGCTTATCTTATCGGAGCCATTCCCTTATCGTTATCTCCCATCGACCTTTCAAAACATCAAACGCCTGAAAGCCGAAACACACCATGGTCACTCGTGTCCAGTCATATCAGTGTTAATAATGAACGCTCTTGACGGCCTGTGGACATTTCTTTCAGAGGTTACATTATATGATGTCAGTTGCGGTAAGAGCGAGATCGAAACCCCTGGCTTTTTCTTGCGCAGTGATAGACAATTATCCTGAAACCATGGTGCTTACACATCCGTTGTGCTTTATGTATAACATCAAAGGCCAATGGCGTGTCTGAGATGATCCGATAGCTCTATAGATGGTACACTATTGTACAAGTGGTAAGTTCGACCCCCAATGCCCTTGCTCAAGTTGTCATAATCCGGGACACCGGATAACACCAGGTGATCACTCTCTAACTAATAGCTCCCTGTCAGTACAAATAAGTGATTCACAACTTCTTCGAAACCATAACGAAAAAAAAAAAAGAAAGAATTTTGGCCCTGAATCTTCAGTACCTGGCCTTTACCTTGTTGGTCTCAAAGTACCACTAAAGTAAAGAAGATTGGGCCCTAGTTGAGTCTTTCTGTCATAAAGAACCTGCTTTCCTTATAACCCCGGGCCATCTGTGACACAGCATATATACGCCTTTTTAATTCTTCACGTTCATAGGTATTCACGGTTTTTTTCTGTTTTGACCCAAGGTTTCCCGCTTTGGTAGAAGTAGCACCATGCTGGCGAAGGAGCATTGCTGTATAGACGGAATATCCATACCGCTCAGCTACTTGCAACGCGGTACCGAATAATCCTCCCCTTGCATTGACATTGACACCGTACGTGAGAAGCAGCTTTATGATAGCTCTTTGTTCCTTGTCCGGGCCCGTGCGATCTGGCATCAGAGCAGCGATTAACGCGGTACCGTGTTTCCCTCCTCTTGCACCGGCATAAGCGCCGCGTTCAAGAAGAAGCTTTACAATCTCATATTTCAGGGAAACACTAGCTGCCTGAAGTGCGGTGTGGTTTTCCCCTCCTTTTGCATTGACATCGGCGCCGTGCTCGAGAAGAAGCTTCACAAGTTCAATATTGCCGGACACAGTAGCTGCTTGCAGCGCAGTACCGTATCTCCCGCCTTGTATATTGACATCTGCGCCCCGATCAAGAAGAAGCTTTGCGATTTCAATATAGCCGGAAACACAAGATGCCTGCAGCGCGGTACCGTAGCTTCCGCCTTGTATATGAACCTCGGCGCCGCGCTCAAGAAGTATCTTTGCAATTTCATTGTTACCGCGAAGACTAGCTGCCTGCAGCGCGGTGTCGTATTCTCCACCTCGCGCGTTCACATCAGCCCCGTGCATAAGAAGAAGCTTCGCAATCTCACTGTTGCCGCAAAGGATAGCTCCCTGAAGTGGGGTGTTACTTTTCCCTCCTATTGCATTGACATCGGGTCCATATCCGAGAAGAACTCGAACAATCTCTTCTTTTCCCTCGTCCACAGCATGGTGGAGTACGGTGCTCTCGTATAGGTATCCTCCACACCTTGCGTTAATATCGGCATGGTATTCAAGGAGAAGTTTCATGATATCCTTGACTGCAGATTGATTGTTTATGGCCTTGGAATGGCAAGCAAGGTGTAGTGCGGTATCAGAATCCGCGTTTAGCGCATTAGCATCAGCGCCGTGCTCGAGAAGAACTCTAGCGACCTGTAAATCGTTGTTGGTTATAGCAACGTGTAGCGGGGTTGTTTTTTTGTGATAGTGATTAGGATCGGCGCCGTATCTTATAAGAAGAAGCCTCATCATCTCAGTAGAGCCTCTGGATGTGGCCGTCCTTAAGGCAGTGTCGTAACCCCAGCCCTGTGGCCTAATTTCGGCGACATGTTCAAGAAGAATCCTCGCAACACTATTGTGACCGTGACTCAGGGAAATGTATAGCAGATTGAGGTCAGCAACATCTGTACATCGAGCGCAGGACCATGCATGAAACCGCAAGAGTCGCTCCACGCTACGGCCTTCTTTCATTCTCTTCAGAAATTCTCTCTGTGAGACACCTTCCGCCTCTGCTGCCTCAGCGTGATCGAGCCAATGCGTACTTGCGTATTCCAAGAATGGGTATTTTTGAATAGACGTAATACTTTCCCTCCAAATGCTACCCAAGACTGAAGCGTCGATTTCAATGAATGATACACAGCAAGATCTCAAGCGATCATGAGATTTGCCAATGGGATCCGAGTCAAGCGCGGGGTCCAGACTCTGAAGTCGTTTGTTTCGTAGGAGGAAATCTTTGACAGATTCGTGAATGAACTGAACCGTACGGTTGGCTTTAAGAACCGTGATGAGCCCTTTCGACGAGTTGGTTATGCGCCGCTGGATGTCGTTATCTGTTAGTCGTGACTGATGTCGAGACCCTAGGTTTGTGACACTGGTGCCAGCTAGCGTGGCATAGTAAAGCTCTTCTGGGCTAAGTGGTCGTACTGCAAACAAAACCCATTGCAGCATTAAGATCGTCTCATGTTTGTCCGAATTATTCTTGTTCAGGATCGTCCAAAACAACTCGTCAAGGTCACTGGGCACCTCGCACAGCTTCTGCTTCATCGCTTCGACCTTGCCCTCGTCATATGCTCTGTTCAGCAAGGCAACGACGAGCACGACCCACATAAAGATACCGAAATACAGTTGTCAGGTCGAGCGCCAAGAGGAATGACCTCTACGCGAAGCACAAAATCATCTGTCTTGAGATGGAAGCCGCGGGCGTGATGAGCGACTACCAGGGGCTGGTGATCCGGGGAGTCTGCGACTATGCCGACTCGCACAAGAATAAGAAGTGGCAGGGCTATGCGGCAGCAACGGCGGCGGCATACGCGAAGGAGCTTCTGTTGCTGCTGCCGTCTGGTGGAGGGTCGTCGACCGATTCATCTTCTCCCGATGAGAGGAGTGCGACTCGGGAAAATGGGTGGTATGTCGGACGGGATCAGTTTCACAACTCGGGAGCCGGGTTTATGAACTTCAACATGGGTGCAGGAGTTCAAACAAACAAAAACACCGCTGGAAACCAATACAATGCGCCACTTTACGGGCATCCGTCAGCCGTACCGCAGTGGCCCAAGTACTAGCAGGCGGGGTTCATGTAGACAATGTGGCCTCCCCTCCTGCCACGGAAGGGAAGGATGGAGGAAAATAAGAGGGTCTGAGGGTGTGATCTGGGAAACGCCCAAGTAGTTTGTCAAGACATTGTCGGCTGTGCAACAAGTCTTGAAGGGC